AGTGACTGGACTTGTGGAGTTCACAGCTGTGGGGAACTCCTGCCATTAAGACTGTCCCAGAGTCAGAGTTTCCTGATATTTCAGTTCTCTGCCCTGAAGCCACAGGAACCCCAGCCCCAGTGATTCAGCCCAGAGCCAGAAAAAACTCTCAACTTTACTTCTAATAGGACTCTCAGGACAGTTGGGCTTTCACCCAAAAAAAGCAAGAAGCACAGGAGCCCAGACTGCCAAACCTTGAAATTCCTGCCCAAGTCCTCATTCTAAATTTCCAGATTCCTCTGTCTCTGTCCATCTAGCTGACAGAAAACAGGGAGATGGGAACTTGAAGTTTCAGGAGCCGCAGCTGAGGCAGGAGCCTCAGAGCTTGGGCTCTCAAGCTTGGTGGTTTTCAAAGTAATTTAAACAAACTATGTGACCTTTAGAAAGATTTTTCTGCTTTCCTCTCTAAATGAAACATACAAAATTTCAAATTAAAGGCTTTTTTTTTAAATAATTGAATCTGGAAATGGAACTCTAGTTTTCAGCATCTATAGCACAGAATCCATGGCTGAGTATTTCTTACTGGTCTACGACACAGAGTAATCCCAGTAAGACCACAGAACTTTAGAATATTTCAAGTTGGAAGGGAGGCATAAGGATCACCAAGCCCAACTCCCTGCTCTTCAGAGAACCACCTAGACTGAAAAGGAATCACTGGCTTCACAAGACATCCGACAGTATATGCAAGGACTCAGAGAAAAGTGTAATGGTAAAGAGATATGGAGAGATTTCACCCTCAAGTAAGTGGTTCCGAAAAAAAAGAAAAAAGCTTTTTTCTTTTTAAAAAAATAAATGTGTTTCAGAAATTCAACTCAAATTCCAGTTAAAACAAGAGCCGAGTCACTCTCCCAAGAACTGACGTCCATCTGCTTTATCTAGCTGTGTTCTTGATACACGGGGGTGATGCTTCCCCACCAGGATCTGGAATACCATAATTTCTCAGAATACTGTAATTTCACAATATCATAATTTCCAAGCCTATTCCAACACTGCAATATTCATCCTCAAGACATGCCAGGTATTTGCCACCTATGTGAAAGGTTGGAATTTAGCTCTGATGAAGATACATCTCACACTACATGGGCTTAGCTTTTCACAAGTGAGGTGACCACTGGGAAAGCTTCCCTGTGAATCACAAGAATATGTAAATCTGTGCCATCAAACAACATCTGTGGGCAGTTTATGAATAATTTGATGCTACTGTTTGCTATCAAACCTGGTGCCATGAAATAACTTTGCCCAGCTTCTGCACCTATCTGTAAACTCCTGTGATAACTGTATTTCCAAAAGGGACTCTAGCTGCTACACGTGACTATGCATTTCCTCTTTTGTTCAAACTGCTTGGGAGTCCCTGGACCCAGAATCACAGAATCATTAGGGCTGGAAAAGGCTGGAAAAGGCCTCCAAGATCAGCAAGTCCAACCTTTGACTGAGCACCACCATGCTAACTTAACTACAGCACTAAATGCCACGTCCAGTTGTTCCTTGAACACTCCACAGACAGTGATTTCACCCCTCCCTGGACAGTCAGTCCCGATGCTTTAACCATCCTTTCACTGAAAAAATTCTTCCTGGTGTCCAACAGGTCTTCAAACCTGAAAGCAAGTTTCTTGCTGCAGCTGAATTCCCTTGCAAAATATGTATAACATAAAATAATTTGAGAAACAGTAAGTTCAAGTGCATGCCACAATCAGCCTCATACTCTTGACACATTCAATCCACACAATAAAGGTACCCAAGGACATATTAGATACACAATAATACCTATTAATTAAAGTAATGGTGTAAGTAAGCACAGTCTGTTTATCTCCCAGGCAAATCTAGAACAAAATCTAGCTACACTCAAACAGTGTGGCAAAAATAGCTTCACTTTTTAAAACTTTCTAACTCTTTCACACATAATTGAACTGTAACCCAAAAGATTCTTACTTATATCCCATAAAGATTCTCATTTATATCCTACAAAGATTATCATCACTTCTGAAGAAATAAAATAATTTATTCAGCTCTCTTATGGCATCATCATGCTTAATTATTTCTAGTAATGAGCCTCATGTCACAGAATCCAGGTGACCTTAAAAACTGACGTGTTTATTATCCATATTTCCTATGTGTATGTTTTTACTTTGTAAGTATTCCCTTATCTCTGTTTATCAGGGGCTGGAAGTCACCTGAAGTTAACACTCTGAACTGGTATATACTAACACCGATCTTAACTCCGCATTATTAAAATTAAAATAAAATTCTGTATCAACCAAGAAAAATACTTTTATTAGAAAAGAAGCCAACTTGTACTTTTAAAGAGTGGAAAGGAACATTAGATTAAATCAGGTCTTCTTACACAAAACCCCGAGAATCAGCAATTTCTATTCAGAGGTTTTAAAGAACATTCAACCTTCTTCAAGGTTGCTTATACATCTTTACATCACCCATCACTACAGAGCTTGAAGTTTTGAGCACTTCATATTACACAAGGTCAACAGCACATTCCACAGACTCTCTGAGAAATGTCTCCATCACAGATCCAAGTAAAATTTCTGTGTAGAAACAGCTCTTCACAAACTGTCACATCTTTCTTAGTTTGGCAGCTTGATCTAAAGCCCATTTTGGGAAATCTTTCTCTAATTAATACACCCCAAACTCACCTCCTCTGAGAACCATAACAGATATTTATGCCTATGCAGGGGGAAGAGACACACAGACCTCCTGCTCTGTCCTTAGGCCACTACAGTTCTTCCAGTGTAACCCCCTGTGAGGGATCTGCTTGGGAATAAAAGTGACTTTAATATCATACTGTTATTCTGCTGCAGACCAGAATCACTTTCGTTTCAGAATGATCTATGCAGTACCCCTGAGCAATGCAAAAAGGCACAGCTGCTGTCGTAGAACTGCACTGCTACAGTTCTGCCATGTCAGGTTGTTTATGGGACAAGTTTGTGTATTGCAAAGCAGAACTCTTCTCTAAAACTACAAAGTGAGGATACTGTATCTCAGGAGTACACCCTTATTTCACTCACCAACATGAGTGAGGAAGCCCAGGCTGCACCACAGGCCTTCCCTACTCATGTGGATGTGGCTCAAGCCTTGGTTGGGAAAACCTTCAGTCAAATGAGAGTCGGTGGCAAGACAAGGGGTAGTCGTGAGTTGACTTCAAAAATGCACTTGAAGGGAAAGAGTCTTTCTGTCTTCTCAGGAATTTATCTGATGTGCTATATATCCATGCCAAACTCCTATTTAGTTCAGTGCTGCTGTTTAAGAGCTCAAGTGTAAATATGAAGAGACTCGCTTTGTTTGGTGAAAAACAGGGCCCAGTTGGTATAGAGACACCAGTGCTCGTGAGGAACTAATGCAATACTTCTTTCCCTTTCTCCCTCCTAAGGGGACTCTTTGGGTACATGCCAATTTTTCCTCAGTTTCTGGGATGAGCAGCCAGCCCCTGGTAAACACACCTCTGACTTTGGTTGTGCAGGTGCACTTCACCTCCAAGTCAGTGGCTGCAGCTGCACCTCAGCCCCTCTGAGGCCTTACCCCGGGCTGGGGTTCTCTGGGCTTCCGTCTTTCCCTTCCATTCCACCCCTGCTGGCCCTCCCTTTCTGGATTGCAAAACAATTGAAATTGAAAACTGAAATTGACTCAGAAATCGAGACCTGGCCTCACAGGCGCTTTCTTGCCACCAGGCACTTGGATCTTCCTGCTCTTCCCACACACAGCTCTCCCGTTCTCGGCACACCGGGACCACGCTCATCCCTCCACGTGCCACGCCCTCACGGCTTCAGAGATGGCCGCCGTGCCGCCATCCCCAGCAGGTTGTACCTTGGTCCTGCCGGCCGCACACCGAGGGTCTGACAGCTGGCGGCACCTTCGGGGCAGCCACAGCACCGAAGCCCCGCTGCACGAAGCCACCGGGAGCTGGGGGCAGCTCCCGCCGTCGACGCCCGCCCCGCGCTCGGCCCCGCGCCTCTGGAACCTTCCGTGGCCTTGGGGACGAGCTGTGGGGGCAATGGGCGGGCGCGGGCGAGCCGACCCCGAGGGAGCCCTGCCTCGGGCGCCTCGGCCGTCGGGGGCGCAGGACCCACCTACGGCGCTCGCCTTCCGCCGGGCACCGCCGCGATCCCACCCGGTTCCCGCCGAGAGAGGGGAGCGGGAAGCCTCCCGCCCCCTCTCTCTCTCTTTCCCTCCCTCCCTCTCTCCGCCGGCCCTCCGGGAGGCCCGGCTCCCGCTCCCCCGGGGGGAAGGGGCAGCCGGACCCCCCGGAGGGGGGATCTCCTCGGGGCGGGGCCCGCCGCCGCTCCCTCCCGGCGGGCGCGGCCCCCGCGCCCCTCCCGCTCCCGGCGGGCCCCCACGGGCGGCACGCGCGGCCGGTGGATGCCGCCGGGTGACGTGCAGGGCGCGCGGTGGCAGCACCTCCCCGCGCGCCGCTTAAAAAGAAGAAGAAAAGAGGGAGCGAAACATGAGAGCCCGGACGAGCCGCAGCCGCCGCCGCCGGCAGCAGCAGCAGCAGCGGAGGGGGCATCGCCCGGCCCGGCCGCCGCCGCAGTCCCGCCGCGGGGACACCCTTCCTATGGGACGACAAGTGAAGGGCTGCTGCCGCCGCCCGCTGCCCGGCCCGCCCCGAGCCTCGGCGCTTCGGCGCGGCAGCGGCAGCTGCTAAAACCTGTGCCGCTCGCACAACTTCGCCGGCTTCGAGCATCCTCCCGCCGGGCTCGGGGGCTCGGTCCCCCCCGTTCCTGCCTCTTCGCGTCCACCTTTTTGGAAGAAGCGGGGGTGGCCGAGGTGCTGTTCCTCCGTCGGCTCTTTAACCGCCGCTGTTATTATTCTCCTCCAGACTTTCCCCTTCTGGGGGAGGGAGGTGGTTTCCTGATCTGAAGTGCAAAGAAAAGTCAGTGGGATTCCCCTCCTTCCTTCTCCCCCCACCCACCCCCCCACCCCCGGTTTGGGTGCATTCACACGCTCCCTCAGGCATGATGCTCAAGATGCTGCCGTTTAAGCTGCTGCTGGTGGCCGTGGTTCTGTGCTTCTTCGAGGGGGATGCCAAGTTTGGGGAGAGCGGCGCCCGGAGGAGAAGGTGCCTCAACGGGACCCCGCCGCGGCGGCTGAAGAAGCGGGACCGGCGGGTGCTGTCCCCGGAGGCCCCGGGCGGCGGGGAGGCGATGTGCCGCGGCCTCTACCCCCGCCTGTCCTGCTGCTCCCGCTCCGAGGCGCAGGGTCTGCCGCACGCCGAAGCCAAGGTAGGCACCACCTGGGGCTGCGCCGGGCTTTGGGGGAGGTTTTTGGCGTTCTGGGCTGTTTTTTTATTATTTTGCGCCGAGCCGCGCACCGGCCGCGAACCTGCCGCGTTCCCACGCGGGCGGTGGGGGCGATGCCGCGGCGGGGGGCGGCCGCTGCCGCCCGGGGGCGAGGGCGCGGCGGGAGCGGGACCGGCCGCGGCTCTGACGCTGCCTCGGGAGGCGCGGGGAGCCGGCTCCGCTCCGCGCCCGGAGGGGACACGGGCGCCCCGCGGGGGGAGCGCTGTGCCGGCTCTACCGCCGGCTCTGCCTCCCAGTTACTTTCTGCCCGCAGCGCCCGAGTGTCCGGCGGCGGTGCCGTGCCCGTGCAGCGCGGCCGGGCCGCCCGCAGGTACCGCCGCTGCTGCGGGGAAGGGCGGAGGAGTCGGGCGGCGGCAGTGGCAGCGGAGGGACTGTGCGTTCGCCCGGCCGTGCCATCCGGGCTGGGCTTTTCCTGGCGTGAAAGATCGTGTCCAGTTTGCTCCACATGCTCACTTCGGGAGGGGGTTCGGACAGTGGCTTGGTGCCGGTGTACCGACATTCCGTGATCTCCGGCCGCCTCGGGGCCCGTGTGCTACTCACGGTTCCGGGTGTCAGCGGCGAAAGCCCCCCATAGTGTCCGCTGTGGAGCCCCGGTGTCCCGGCTCTCGCCCAGGGCCGGTGTCTCACCAGGTGCCCTGAGATACTCTGCCTTTGCACATTACCTGGCAGCCTCTCTGCCCAATTTCAAACTGCGGTCATGTGAAGGGAAGCACCTCCTCTGCTCACCGATTTTTTAAAATTGTCAAGTTCTCTGCATCCTTTAGCAAGTTAAATTCTGCTTATCAGCCTGTTGCTTAGATTTTCAAACGCGTGGGTACCTAACCAGGCAGGACTGTGTTTGATAAGCTGTGCTGTGCTGGCCAGTGCTGCATCCGGGGGTATGCACGGGGAGGGAAGTTGCTGAATAATGTCATTAAGAATCACTGCACATGAAATAAACAATCAGGTGCCTTTTAAAAAAAAAAATATTACTTTTCCTTTTCTTTCCTTTTGTTATTTTGGGGTTTTTTTTAACATTTCATCCTCCTTTAGGTTTAATTAAGAATTCCTCAGTTACAACTCTCTAGTTGTCAAGGTCTGAGAGACTCTTGGAAAACTTGTGTTTCAGTCTTGCTGGCCCAAGCATAATAAAAAAAAATACCCAGCCTGAATCGAATTTTTATGCTCAGTTCACGGTAGATTTCACTCCATTCTCATGTAAACAGCTTCTACGAATCAACATATGTGTCTGGGTGGTATCTCTCACTTTGTTTTGTAACAAAAAGCCATATTGCATCATTTAATTTGCTCAAGTCATGCAAATAGGAAAAAATCAATAGGACAAAAAGGGGTCGACTTATCCTCCTCCCCACTAAACTGCTGCCCACACACAGAGTCCTGTTGCTTATGGCAAAAGAATAACAACAACACCATTGTGTTTGTTAGTTGGTTCACTAATGGGTGAAACTGGAGAACATCATTCTCCTTCAGTCCCCAGCTCTGTCCAAATGTTCATGCCTTTTGAGGGAGCATTTGTCCTACCCCCTCTATTCCCAGATGATTGAGAACTGTCTTACTGCAGGTTTTCAGCTGCAGATCTCTCTTTATTCATACCATATGCAGCAGCAGTTTGAGATTCAAGGCAGATATATTTCTTCATGTTGTCTAGAGACAGTGTCATTAGGCTCCTGTGTGATGATTGAATTAAACTATAACCACACACAGATAACCTGAAAGATCTAGCTGGAAAAAAAAAAGAAAGGAGAAAAAGAAGGAAAAAAAAAAGGAAAAAAATAATAAGGACTGGAAAATATGTCCTTAATTCACCCTGTTTGCAATGTCTCGGTGGCATATATACTACTGAGATTATTCAGTGCTTGGAGACCCTTGTGGTAATTGGTTGAATGCAATAAACTGGAAGTGCAATTTTGGTTAGTTTTCCATCCCCAGGCAGTTGAAGTGTTTATTCTCTTCTTACTATTACTTTAAAAGATCTTTTAATTCCTTTTCAATGTGTTTTTTTTCTTACTGACGGTACTAAAAACCTGATGTAAATGTGAGGAAGTGACCACAGTACCTATTCCTGAGCTGTTGAACCCATTTAGTATTTTCTATAAAACATAAATTAAATTTTTAAAGGAATGTTATTGTACAGGGTTGTAAAATCAGACTTTTTTTCACTGAAGATTAATTTTAATGAAACTCACAAATGTGCTTTATCATATCTGATATAGATATATGATTAAAAATATGTCAAAATATATGTAATTTATAGTTGACAGAATGGAGTGGGCATTCTGTAGAAGACTTGGCATAGTATTAATGGTATGCATTTGAATGTAACTTTTCTAAAAGCACATTTTTTAAACTGTGTTCTACTACAGTTCCCAAACCAGCTTTTTTAAACTCCATCATCTACCTACATGATGGAGAGGCCATGCCATTAACAGAAATCTGAGCACTGCCATCTTTAAAAAAAAATTAAAATTAATTGACCATGCTTAGTAGACATTCTAATAAGAGCCTCTTGGTTAAGATGCTGGGTCTGTGAGAATTTTTGACCAAATTATTGATCTGTGCTTATAAATGAAAACACCACCTGCAGTTTAGGGAACAATAATGGAGCTCCCGTAAAGAGCAGATACAACACTGCACTGGCTCAAGTAAAATGTTTGTGTCCTGTTGTTGACATTTAACTCTTTTATTTTTCTGGCAATATCCCCTTGTTTATGAAGGGCTGCTACATCCCAGCCAAACATTGTAATATCAATTTTTCTAAAAGTTTGCTTACAGCCTGACAGGCAAAGAAGTCCTCTCTACCTTGGATGGTTTCACAGCCAAGGCTGTCAAGGAATGGGTGAAAAGTAATTGTTTTCAAGTGTGCCCTTTTACAATCATTTGTTTGCTCTGGCTCTTTCATGAACAAAGGCTATTGTTGAACACATCCAACTAAACAAATAACTCATCTTGGGGTCCCTTTAACAGCTGCCTTAGTACAATGATCTATTTAAATATTACCCTAAAATTGAAACTGAACTCTTTAATGACATAATCCAGCACTATAATACAGAAGAGGCATATGTTCAACTCAACAGCTGAACAATCTCGTCAGCACATGATTTTTAGACATAAATGCTTGTATATCAAATATGGCTTAATGCAATGACTTATTTCACTGGTTTCTTCCTTCTGTTAGCATCAAAATTCTACTGCCTTTCTCTAACTAGATATGACAGAGTACACAAAACAGATGACAATATTAGTTGTAAAGAATTTCTGTCTGTCTCTTGTGTCATCTTCTGTTTCTTCTTCTTTGCACTCCTCCTTCTGTTGATAAACCAATTTAGTATGCTGTGCTTTCCTGTGCATTCCAGGATTTATCTTACCTTTAGTCTACCCGTTCTACTTTCATGTGGCTAGAGATTAAAGGATGATCTTACAGATGTTGTAAATTAGTCAGCAGCAGGCATAATCATTATTAGGCATGTTGCAATAAATGTTTGGAAGTTTTACATATTTTCCAGAGCGCAGTTAGTTTAAACCACTGCAGTTTGATGGTTTCACATACGACTTTAAAAATTGAAGCAGGAAATTAGTTTACATTTCTTCAAAAGACCAAAGCCATTGTCAAATTTAAGGTCATTTTCAAAGTAGACATCCAACAGAAAAAAGCTTCATTTAAATAAGTATTTCAGAATCTGCTTAGAACTGGTTTAGTATACTCCAGGATAAATACATTATTGATTTACTGAAATTCAGAATAGAGACTTGTCCTATCTCCAAGCCAGTACAGAGTTACACATCAGACCTCACACAGAGCAAATGTTACCACCCTATTTTGCTTGACCATTCTAAAAGTTAAGTAACATTGTACTTGATTTTCAGATAATTGATTGACTCTCATTCCTTAATCTTCCGATTAGCTATTATATGACCAAGATTCATTCCAGAAATGACATGAGGGGGTGAATTCCTGTGGTTAATTCCTGGATAGCAGCTGCTCAGGGGGATTAGGATCCTTTTGTCTTAACTTTGAGGACTGAAATGTTGGCAAGCTTGTATCACCAGGCAACGTCAATTACGTTTTCCACAAGAAACAGTAAATTAGCTTTGCCATCCTGTAATTTATTTTCCCCCCCCTGTTCACAATGTGTCCTGGAGCCTTCCAGTAGAAGTACAGTTTTCTATCTGCATCTCTGTAGAGTTAATTCAATAAACACACTGAATATTTATCTAGTAATACCTTGTGTTTACTTGTACTTCTAAACATACCATCACACTGTTACCACAAGAAAGTCTGAGATGAACTCCCTGATGAAAACTTCTGAGACTTCTGCAAACCAGGTGGTACTACTGCATGTAGGCAAGTACTTTGAAGGGTCTGTGCTCACAGTCCTTTGATGGAAGCACCAAAATGGGTTATTTCATCCTTACTTCAAGAGACAAGTGGCATGATGTTCTTTAAAGGTAGCATTTATGGATAGTGGTTTTGCTCATCCCCCGTTGGCTTCAGACTTTGTCCTGTTTGGCAGCCAGTGACCTGATTGAATTATACAGGCCCCTTCCCTGTGTCAGAATCACAGCATCCCTTAGGAAAGTTCAGCTAGTGCAGAACATTGCCTCAGCAGCATGGATTGCTGCAAGCATGTCAAGTCTCTTCTCTACTACCTGAACTGCAACCCTCAGCAGTATTCAAATGGAAAGTTTTAGTTGTTATGTATTTTGGTTATAGTTTTTAGTGGTTATTACTATATTTTTACTTCTTGTCATCAAGATTTACCATATCTCAGAACAACATTTGAAATTCAAGAAAGAAGACTGAGGTTAAGAATTCTACTGCTATGGCCCAAATGGGCAATCTAGCAAAAGGAATCCAAACTTTTTCAGGAGTGAAGAACCTGTGGCCATGGAAGAAATTCCTGAAAGAATTCAGGACTAAGGCAAACCTTTTGCCATACATGCAACATGCACGGGTCATTTCTGTCTGATTGATTACTGTCTTAAAGCTTAAAAAAAGAAGACAAACCCTTTACAAAATATGTGGGATAATTACATTCTCAAGAAAGGTTTGAAGAGAGATAATAAACTATATGTGGCAGATGTTAATCACATTACTTGCCTGCAGGTGCTATGAAGCTGAGGATAGTTTGACAACAGATAGTTTGAAGAACAGAACATTTAATGTTTTTAGTGATCCTGGCAAACCTGGAGGAATTCTTTTTGAAGCCAATGGCAGCACATCCAGAATAAGGGTAGAAGCCAAATGGTGGTCTTCTAATCAGTGGTCCAACTTACAACACTAAACTTTAGTGCACATTTCAGATGGTCTTTTGACAATATATGTATGGTAAGACTAAATTTTTTTGGATAGAGAATGCCTTCTAAATTAAGGTTGTTATAAATAGGATGTTTTTTAAATGTATGAGCCATATATTGTGTAATATTTTGAATACATACCTGTTTGAAACAACTGAAAGTGCATTTCTCTCAAGCAATTTGAGGTCTATATAATTATGCCCTGTAAATAAAAAGCTGAGTTCAGACCTGTGTTATCAAAGTACAGCATCCTAGAAGAGAGCTGACCTATGAGACAGCAAACTCAAGCATATCCAGAGTGTTCCTGCACTAAATAACTTATCTATCAAAAGCAACTTAGATAATTCCCTTGAATGTTACATGGCAAGGGAATGACATTGGAAAGTCCTTCTGTAAATCAGTCCAGAGATACAAACTATGGACAAACTAGCAATATTTTCAAACATGTGATTTGCAAATATTTGCAAATTTCATACAATACGTATATTTGCGACATCAATATTTCTTAACATAAGTGTCGTACTTTCTCTGCTTATAACTGTGCTATATAAATAGCAGAAAGAACCTGAGCTTTGTTTTTGCACTGGAATGGATTCAGACCCTCTCAACGGAGAGAACACATTTCCCACTGCCTACCATTGGGATGAATGACCAAAAAACAATCCATGTAGTTAACAATAGATTAATAAAGTACACACATTCAAAAGCAAATAAAGACAACTATGCTGTTTTCCATTATTTTTCATGATTTGATGACATTGCACTACTTCGGCTCCTGTGTTTACTTAAACACATCATCAGTTGTGGTTTCGTGCCTCTTTAAGTGCTATGCATCCATAATATATGCTTTTTTAGAGGACAAAGTTACTGTTTCCATATTGACACAAACAAGACATTACAAATTCTACTTTTGCACTTAAAATAGAAAAATGTCTGAAAACATACAGGGTTTCCCACCTCCAAACAGTGTGCATTAGAGAGAGCAAAAAGCAGAGCAGCATTTAAAGCATGAAAAATCCATGGCACCTGCTGAATTCCACAGCAGTCATTTCAGCAGCCAGGCTTTGTGCTGTTCAAGATACACCTATTTTACAAATACCTAGACATGGTTTTCTGGATGTGTTCTGATGCAAGAATTTTAAGCTTTAGTCTCTAAACACTTGAGTAGGCCACCTTACAAGTTAGGATTCTAGATATTTCTTGTCAGAGAAGTGGGTAGGCCTGCTGGTGTAATTCCCTCTTATATAAATGATTCCTCTAGTTCAGAGTTTGCCTATGTGATGGCGGGCACAGTTCCTTAGAATAACATGAGTACTGTTGTTCTTCTCTGAGAAGCAAGCTCAGATAGGAAATCTTATAGAAGATTTTGTAAGAATCCTCTATAAGAAATCAGAGAAATTAAAATCTCACTGTACCAATGGCGTATTGCACGTTTCATAGTAATAACTTTTGCACCTCCAGAACGGTGACATGAAACTCGATACATTGATAGTAACTGTATTGGTTCCATTAGCTTTATTTATGGCATGAGGCCATGCAATCTTTCTTTGTGTAGGATGGGGACACAGGTCACAGGTTTACTTGTCTCTGGTTTGTGGCTTGCAGGTCCTTTCTGTTACCAACAACACAGAATGTGCGAAGCTACTGGAGGAAATCAAGTGTGCACACTGCTCACCTCACGCTCAGAACTTATTCCACTCACCTGAGAAAGGGGAAACTCCTGAAAAAGAACTAATGCTTCCCTACCTGTGCAAAGACTATTGTAAAGAGTTCTATTACACCTGCAGAGGTCACATACCAGGTAAAACTCGTAACAAAATATGGGGCTAAATGATGTCCTGATATGTTGATATTGCCTGAGCAGTTATAGATCCAGCTTTTAACCAGGAAAAATCCCCACTGATGTCCAGGGGAATTTGCCCAAGCAGGGACAGAATGCCTTCCCAGCACATCTTGTGTAGGGAGGTAAATACTTTGAGGGCTTTCTTGCCACCCTCCTGTTAAACTCACCATGAAACACACATGGTTTGATTGTTGTCAAAGGCACCTGAAACTGTTACCTTTGCTGAAATATTATTGTGTTCATTCTGATCATGCAAACAAGCAGCTGGCCATCCAGGAGGCTATTCTAAATGATAGTTTGCTTTAAAATGCAAGGAATAAAAGGTCCTGGCTGTTTGCTGTAGCCTCTAAAAGCTGATGAGAAAAGTGTTTTTTCTGGTTTTGTTACCCTAGAAACTGATGTTTTTTCCACAGGGTTTAAAGCCCATTGAAATCAAAGGGCCCTATTTGATAGACTTCTGTGATCTTTGAATCACTTCCAGCGTGCTGTTAACAAGCAAATTCTTGACTTACCTAACACTTCCTCAGTGTAGTCAGTGGAGTTAGCTGGACATAACCAAAAGCAGAGTTTGCCCTGTGCTGTCTGAGGCAGTCACCAAATGTGTGCTATCACTTGTAACTATATCAACAAAATAACCGCAGAGGATGGCTCTTTTAGAAACACTGTCTTAAGACACTATTATGTTAAATAACATCTTTGGTATTCCCAATAGTAAATTATTTATATGTTTAAGACTGTCATTTTTAAACTATGCTTTTTTCCCTGTCCAAACACTACTTATAAACAATGCCACACAGGAGAAAATAATTAAATAGGTTAAGATTTCTTTTTTTTTTTTTTTTCTTTAAACTAGCAACACAGACTGGAAAAAAGGACTTGATAATGAAATGAAAAATGAATTTGTGAATAGTCACTTTTAACATATGAACACAGCTTTGTAATATAATATAAACATATTTGAGTAAAGGGGATAGTTTAAGTGGATGGGATTTGCAGGACAGTTTTTTAATTGCATGTTTACAGTGTGTACTTGTTTCCTCTGAAACCCCAAGAGTGCAGGGATTTTTTTTGCAGTGTTCTTTTATTGACTTGAGAAAACATTTTGAATTGACTTACTTTTTCCCTTTACTGTGGTTTAACATGTATCTCAACCCATTCAAATATGAAAATATTATTATTGTCTTTATAAACTAAGAGATGTTTCTAAGGCTTTCTTAAACCAGCTGTTTCTTGCTCTTTATCACATTCCCCAAAGCAAAGCAGAATAGATCATAGTTGCCAAGACTGCCTGCTGAACAGCGATAACAGATTAGATATTCTAAATGTTTGGCCCATATAAGAAGTCAGCACAAAGACATTTTTGACATGAGTTTGTAGCTAGCACAAAGGATTTTCAGATTCTGCACAACGAGACCCTCAGAGTTGTTTTGTGACATTCTGTGTTTATGAGGAAACAATTTATTTAATTGAAAAAAGCGAAAGAGGGAAAAGGGGGGAAGAAGGAGGAGGTGGAGGGAGGGAGGGAGGGAGAACGAGAAAGGGCTGAGCAGCACAGGAGCTACAGCCACAGGAACCTCACTCCTCAGATCAACATATGTGGTGACGAATGACAAATTTATTTTTCTACAAAGTTTGTGTATATGTAAAACTGCTGAAGTGCATCAAGATGTCAAGTGCTTTTTGTGACCACCCAGGTTGCCTTGAAAGATAACCAGATGAAAGCATAACTTTAGCACTGGGCAGAGCACTGTGCTTTGCAGCAAAAGAGCTTACATACTTTAGCATCAGTTAAAATAGGATTTTTCCTGCATCAATCAGATGCTAATAATTGTTCTAAATACTTGTCCTGAAAGTAGGTTGTACTAACAAAAACTTGTTGCATGCTTACATCCACCAACAGGATTAATTTGGTGAGTTGACTGGTACTCATGGTTGTTGATACCTATTCTAGCATTTCCCAAAGATATTCATTAAGATTCAGGTCCCTCTTTTTGAGAAGATGGCCTATAGGATTTTAATATAGTTTCATAGTCTTGTACATTCTGAAACATAAGTAATCAAAATAACTTATTTGGGGATTCTGTTTTCCTTGTGAGATTTGTATATCCGTAATAATATTTATTGCAAAAGAAAGGAAAAAAACCCAGAAAATGTGGAAGCTGTGTTTTTAGCTTAGCCTGGAGGATTTTAGAAAGAGTTGAAAATTACCAGGCCCCAAACCCAAGGTCTCTGGCAATGATTCACTGTGCATTTGTTAAAATGTCGAATAATTACTCTTCCTCCATTAGGGAGTGCTAATTGTTTCTGAACACCAATACAACAGAGTTTAAGGAAATTGCTGACTACAAAAACAATTTTATCCCTTAAGTCCTGTGTAAATGAGAAATATTTTATTAACATTTGTAGACAGCAAGCATCTTTTCTGGGATTGAAATGTTAGCAGGACACATTAACCAAGAAGGCTGAGAAATTATGCATCAGTTATTTTCATGAGTTAGCTTCAAAAATTCATTTATGTTCTGTCTCCTGCAAAGATGAAAACTCTAGCAGATCCTTGGTTAACTCTTTTGAAGACAGCAGTTTGCCCACCAGTTATGACTGAATCAGAACTTCCCCCAACTTCTTAAAGAATATTGAGAGAAAAAGTGGACCTTATTCTTTATTCAAGCAGAATAATATCAGAAGCTGTTAGGATTGTATGGATGAGCAGGAGGGTGTAATGTTGCACCAAGACTTTGAGATTAGAGCTTCTCTGCTTCATTCCAGATAACTGTTCTGATTATTTCTCATCTAATCTTTACTTCAAGCCTCAGTTTAAGAGATTATTGATGGAGACACTGGAGTTAAGTGACTTAATGAAGTGTCTTCCATCAATATGAATTTTAAGTTTTCCCTTTCCAAAAGGGAAGACTGTGTAATATTTATTACTAATACAGATAGTAAAGGAAAGCCACAGCTGATTCTGCCTTTAGACATAATCAGAAACTTGATCCATGCCATTGGAAGTGGCATATTCTAAGGAACAAACCTGTGCCGCAGCCATGGTGCCGTCCAAGGACATGGGAGAGATTTTGGGCTATCTGGCCTCCATTATTTTCATTTGAAGAAATGGGTTCCAGATGATTGTGGGTGAATTCAGATCCAGGCCCAGATCTGAATCCAGACATTACCAGAAGAGATGTCTGATGGGAATTTTCAAGCACCAAACAGGGTGTTCCAAAATATTGGAATTCTAGCCCAAAACATTGGAATTCTAAGAAATTCTACAACTCACAGAGCACTTCCAGAAGTTCTAACATGGCTGATTAATAGTCACAGTCAACACAGTCAACCTGCAGAAAAACAGGAGTGGGTGGTAAATTTGCTACTGGTAACAAGAGCACGAAGGGGATCAAGCCTGGCCCTGCCTGTGTGCAGGAACTTGCAGTGTCTGGGCAGCAGAAGAGGGTCACCAGCCACCTGAAAACCAGTTGGAAATTATGTGAGCTACCAGTGGACTTAGTACATTTTGAAACACTCTGTCTGAAATCACATCTTTGGTTTGGTTAGTAAAAACCAAATAGTTGAGAAGAGAGGAGAATGTAGGATTTTTGTGAACAAATTCACATCTAGCTGTCAAAGGTGCAAATCAGGAAAAAAAAACCCAAAAGGTAAAGGCTGCTTTGACAGAGTGTTGAACTGTATGCTCAAGGTCACAGCAGAAATCAAGCAGGTGAGCCTGATTTCCAGATGCCCTCAAAGGCAGTGCAGGGTTACTCAGATGAGTGGATGATCCTCAATCCTGTGTGCAATGCAAAGTCTTTGACTTGCTGCCATGGCTCTGGAGTTGTGTGTCAGAGAGAAGAGGAAAGGGAATGGGTAATCAGGGAATCCAGCAAAGTGGCATTTGGTGAAGATAGGACAGGAAGGGAGATACAGTGTGAGGAACAACTGGCTGCAAATACAAGTGGAGAGAGGAGGTGGGGATCAGCTGGGAGCAGTTTTCCTTTGAAAAGGCTTTTAATCTTGCAATTTATTCCCACAGTGTTTTATAAAGGCGAACACAGAAAGCCTTCACTGTAGCTGCCTTAACTGAAAAGCCTGTCGTTGGATTCTTGTTTGCAAGACAAAGTTTAGCATAGAAATGCAAGCCTGTGCAAAATCTGACACTTAAACATGATGTTTAATCATCCTTTGTGATTTCAATTTTCTTCGTTAACACAGGCACCGCTCTGTCAACGCGTACACAGCTGGTCGGAAATTTGTAATAATATGTATGAGTCTTTTAAAATAAATTAGTTAGTACAGAAATTCACACAGGACCAAGGGTTGCAGTCCCTATTACTTTTTTTTTCCTTTTCTCCAAACAATTCTAGTGCTTAGGGGCACTTGTCAGGAACCATTCTTCTGGACACTGTACAAACTCTGAACAAAACGGCAAACTGTACACTAAAGACCTTACAATCTAAGCATGAGAAAGAAGATAATAAATGGCTACAAGCAGATAGGAGTGCAGAAGCAAATGTTTCTCTAAATGTCCTCAGTGAAGCTGTTAGTATGTTAAATGGAGCATATATAAGACATGGAGGGGGTTTTTTTTCTAAATTACGATGTTTTTTATAGAACAAAATAGCAATATTCCACCCTTAATGCAAAGGTGAAACTGTATTTACAGAGGTTAGATTCCTTCCAGGAACAAGGCAACATTTTTCATAGCTTAATTCTAGCTTAATTCTAGCCCCACTTTTTTACAAGTGCTTCTAATGGAAATGGTCCATGAGCCTTATCCTTTCTTAGAATCTGCTGATGGGTTTGCTAAACAGCAAAAGGCAACTGCAGTGCACCATGCACTTTAGTGCATTATAAAATATTTCATGAGGCAAAGGGATCAGTCTTACATATAAGAAAAGGCATTGTGCTGGTTGAGTGAGTTTGCATCTGATTTAAAATTGACGTGTTCTTAGTGAACAACAGGATCACAACCTGCTCTGGGTTTCCCTGACTGAAGATAACACTCAAGCCAAGAGAAGTTTATCTTCACTGATTAGTAAATTGTATGCTTGGAAAATTCTAGAAATTCTTAGTAATTGTACACCTCTAATTTGCTATTGCATTTTTTCAAATGACCCACTGTGCCTAGAGAAATAAATTATTAAAGACAAACCCCTTTATTCTTAAGTCAAATAATTCAACAGCAAGATTTTAGATTACCTTTGATTTTGGCATTATATTTACAAGCCTTGGAATCCTACTCTATGATTATATCAGAATTCCTCTTCAGTTGTTCCACTTGAAATTACATCTCCCATTTTCTCCAAGTAACTACTATAAATTAAAAGCAGCTCTTCAGAGATGAAATTTACTGAAGCTCCAAATCATGGTAATTAAACTTCTACACCACAACACACTACCATGTGTTTCCAGATATTATTTTATAGAAATCAAAGGCAGGCTTTTTCCTGTCATTTTTTCCAATATTTTTAAAGGAAGATATATATGAAAAGAAGTATAGTTGGGTGGGAAAGGCTTTTCACTCCACAAGAATTCTGGGATCCAAAAAATTTTCCTATTCCACATAAGGAAGAAATTGAACTCTTTCGAAATTTTCCATGAAGAAAGCCACAGAGAGACCACCCCAGGATAGCTAATAAAGTCGTTGTTAGGACATTTACTTGGGAAATGGGAGACTTAGGGTCAAACTCTTGCCTGACAGATGAGGGGCATTGACCTGAATATTCCTTTTCCTAATGAAACACCCTAATTACAAGACATTGGAGTATAGTGATACAAGGTTTGTTGTCTGGTTCTGTCTTTTTCATTTAGACCAGAAGTTTGAGCTTGGACCAGAAACATCATGCTAAGTAAAATTGTGTCAAAACTGATAATGTTTCTGAAAAAGCTTTGCTTGTAAGAAATTGGCATTTTCCAATGAAACACAGCTGTCCCTGATCAGTTCTTATTGTATGTTGTAAGCCAGAGGTTTTATGGCCAAGATCTATGGATTACTGCATTATTCACAAGTGGTAAAGCCATGCATAAATTAGGCCTCTAATTCCAATTAAGTGCTAATTCTGTGTATCCTATGAGTTATGTCCTGGACTATAGTACATCCTAAGACAGCTGCCAGTAATGCAAACAGGAACAAAGGTAACTTAAGACATATTCTCTCAACAATGTTCTGGTGAAATAGTACATGTATAACTGGCCAGACTCTGTGTTCTTAGATTTAATACTCCTGATTAAACCTGGATAGAAATGACTAGAAATAAGTTTGTGAACAGAAATAGATTTCTTTTAACGTCCTTTAAGATAATGCAAGAAAGTAATAACAATAGTGGAAGGGTTTTTCTTCAAAGGCTCCCATTTTATCAACTTTGTGTTTCTCTGGGTCTTCAAAGTCCTTCCCATTTTAACCTAAAACCTAAGGACCACCTTTCATCCAGTGCAGGATGAGACATATCCCCTTTTCAAGGGATGGGGCTGAGGAAGTAGACTTCACCATGGGATACTGCTCAGCTACTTTAATGCTGGAGAGACCAGCTGGATGTCAATGTGCAGTTTTCAGCACTACTTCCCACTTCTCACCTCTCCAACCAATGTCCTTTGCTGGCAGCATTCCACAAAACTAATACTGCATGTCTTTTACCACAGTCTTCACTGAGATCTTCACTAGAACTAATCACTTATTTTAAAAAAGTTAAGCAGAAGCTGCTCAGGCTATTTTACAGGAGATACTACACTTGATTGATAGGGTTAAAATTAGAGAGAAGTGTGTCACAGCCTCAACTCTGAACTTTGTCTCTTAATTTTTTAGTGAGTGAACTATTGTGTCATTTTGAATGAAACTTAAGCACACTGAAAATGAGGTTTAATACAAATACAGATGAATAAACTGTAAAAGGCAATGCTCAGTTTGTGTTTATACATTTGTGTTTACTCAGAGCAGACTCGCTTTTTGCAGATAGCCCTTTGTTTAAAATGTCTTTTTCCACTATAATCTATTTAAAGATGAGTTTGATGACACAAAACTGCAGACATGACAACACACTAAATATTTGTATGCTCTTTTGCATTTTTAAGGTTTCCTCCAAACTACAGCTGATGAGTTTTGCTATTACTATGCAAGAAAAGATGGTGGTGTGTGCTTTCCAGATTTTCCAAGAAAACAAGTGCGAGGGCCAGCTTCTAACTCCCTGGACCACATGGAAGAATATGACAAAGAGGAAGAGATCAGCAGGTTCATAAAGATAAATGCTGTTTAATGCTGAAAAAACCCCCCTAGCAAAGCCTGTGGTTTTCACAGTGAAACAGCTCCGTGTGTGCTTATGCTGAGCAGCTGTGTTTTCCAGATGTGACTTTCTTTTGCTGCTGCTAGTGCACGTCAAAAGAGAAAGTTACACGAGCTTCAGCACTTCAGTACCATTTGATGTTTGCCTTGCTGAAAAGGTGTTAGAATCCTGCTCTGATCCACCCTGTGGATCTTGGTTATTGTCCAGACCATGGATCATTCATAGTTCTGGGAAGTAATCTGTACCTAAATTTAATATTACTAAAAAACAACAATAAGGTTATTAGTAAATTTATATCATTATCTTCAATTTATTTCATTTGTGGAGGGGTTTTTTTTTGTGAAAGTAATTAAATTAGATTATTCCATCATAAGTCATTATTTTAAAAAAGATATCAGAATCCAAATTTTATCCAAGTGATGAAATTTACTCTGTTTATTTTACATTAGAAATTCTGTATTTCTAAATTATTCTCTTCTTTCGCCAACTTTTTTCCTCTCCCATTGCTCTACATTTTGGATCTAAGTTTATTTAATGTTCTCTTTTTTGTATGCAGACCAAATTTTCCTCAAGTGAAGTTAAAGCTGATTTTCTGTATTATGTGCTTGCATACATTCAAGGGAATAATTTATACACATTAATATATTAAAAATGTTTTATTATAAACCTGTTTTTAATATTATTGCACAACAATAATTTTATCTTTTAGGGACACTGTTGTGTCATGGCTACAAGAAAGAAGAAATGTCTTACTGTTTCTTTAAATTTCTTTAGAAAGCACAAGCACAACTGCTTCTGTATTCAGGAGGTTGTGAGTGGACTAAGGCAGCCTGTTGGAGCAGTACATTGTGGGGATGGATCCCATCGCCTCTTCATTCTTGAGAAAGAAGGATACGTGAAGATCTTCACTCCCGAAGGAGACATACTCAAGGAACCTTTTTTGGATATACACAAGCTTGTTCAAAGTGGAATAAAGGTTGGATTTTATACTTACCTCTACCTTTTTATATTTTACCATGTATATGGGAGAAATGGGAAGAATATTTTTTAGGTATTAATTAAATTTAAATAACAGAAAAGAGTAAAGACAAGAGACACCACAGTTCTTTCTGGCAAAGAAGTGAAAACTCATAGTGGGAAGGGAAAACAGCATCTTGTAACTCTTATCAAACTATTTTCTTTCCCTTCATTTTTTTCCTCACTTTAAATTCAAATGAAACTATTCAGCACCAGCATTCCACAGCAATATCTTTGTATTTTCATCCTTTGGGCTCATTTCCAGCCCATTGAGTTGAAATGAGTTTTCCTGTGGTGCCAGTGGGAGCAAGTTTGGCTTAGGGGCTCCCCTGCCCTCCAGGTGCTTGGTGCTGCCCGGGGAGCTGGACACAGGAGGGGGCCTGGGAATGCTCAGGGATGCCCTGGAAGGAGCAGGAGTGCTCATTCCTTCTTGGCTCAACCCCAAATGTAGCCAAAGCTTCCCTGGGTGGGAGGCTGCTTTAAAACTGTGTGTCTTGGAGGGGCACATAGAAGTGACTGACCCTCTAAATTCAGATATGAGGGTTGGTGGGATGAACAGCTTCCTTCCTGTCCACTGGGAACACTTTCATTGTTGGGTGTGTGAGGGTGGAATGGGCACTGATGGGAATATGTTGGAAGGTGGAGGTGAGAAATTACATCTAGTTATGGGGTAAGTACCAATGGAAAACTCTTAAATCTGTTGGAAGATACTTTATTCTGGAATGCTGGAATTCAAGTGTTGTTCCATGCTGATTTCTTGTCACAAGAAATCCATTACCATTCAGAGTGGTAATGCAAGTAAAATTCAGATATATAAAGAAGTTTTAAGTTGTAATCAGGTTATGCCTAGAACAGTCTGGACTATGTATCAAAAAACCTTCATGGATGAAAGTTATATTGACACACTCTTGACAGAGGGATCTTAAATGATAATTGTGATAAACTAGGTTAATTTGAAATGCATAGCACATGTTAACTGATAATTTTGTTTCAGCTGTAAGGGCAAGGGGCCAATTAGGATAGACTTTTCTGAGAGAAAATCTCAGAGGTTTTTAGTGTATATTGTAAAAGAGAGCTATGAAACATATTGCACCTTTTTCAGGAAAAAAACTACTTTATATGATTATGCATTTTGCTGAATGCTTCCCCTTCTGCCCCGGAAGATAACCATTATGTTCAAGATATCCAAACAGAAGGGACTTATCAGAGGTGTTTTTGAACAGCCACCTAAGGCTGTTTCATATTTCTTAACCAAAAGTTCTGATCACTTGTACTTGTGGAAAACTGACAGTGAAATTTCCACAGAACCGTTATTGGTCCCAAAGAAATCTTTCTTGAGGAAACTTTTACAGCTGCAACTTAGAGACAAGGCTAAATGGAAAACTGATTTTCCATGCTTTTGAACAGGCACTAACCTGCTTGACATGACTCCCAACAGGTACCCTCAGGATCAGATACAACTTTCAGTTCTGTTTTAAATCCGCGACCTGATCTTTTTAAAAAATCAACATGTAATGCTCTACACTGGATCTGTTTCAACTATAACATTTTGTGTAAATAATTTGATGTTTCTAAGCTAGAAAGTCTAATTCAATTCCCTGAGATAACAGCCCAGCGACTAAGGATAATTGTGTTGCAGTGTTTAATGCAGGCTGGCAAGAATGGAGGCTTTATGTACTTTGCAGGGAAGGAGCAAGGGAATGTGCCTAGGAGCAGGACTCCAGCTCTTAAACAGAAAGAGTAAAGAATTTGTGGAATGAGTACATTACATAAAATAATAAATAAATCAAAAACCCCAAACCCCTTATAACCTAAATTATAGTTTTAAAACAAGGGTTCTTAAACATTTTTACGTTTGCAGTCTAGTTCCTGTAAGCATTGTCCATGGTTCCTTACCCACAAGGATGGGAGATCACTGTGGCAATGGCAGCATTGTCACTACTTGACAGAGTATTTGGTTTTACTTACCTGTTACACACTTCAATACTAGAAATCAGTAATGGAGAATACTCTGGACAGATGATTTTCCAGCAGGCAGTGCAGAACAGTCAGCAGTTACAAAAACCTCAACAAACCACTATGTGAAACACTGCATCCACTTGCACAGTGCAAACATCATGCAATGTGTCCTCTGTCCTCACTTAGGAACCATGTATAGTGCCAGAATTTGGATGTACACACTTTGAAGAAAACAAAAACCACTCATCTGTTTTCCAGCCTCAGAGCAATAATAACAAGAAAAGGCAAACTGTTTTTTCCCCTAAAAACAAGTGTAAAAATTTTCTCTCTTACACTCAAGTATCTGAAAAGAGAAATACAAACAAACACTTAACTCCAGTGACAGTAAAAACAGCAAAAATACTTTTTCAGAATTTTAGAGACATATGTTGTACCCAGTAAATAATTAGAATAATGATAATGACAATGCCAATAATGCAGCTGTGATTGAATCAAAGGTAATATAAATTGATGCCTCTGAAAAGAATTTTGGACAGCTATCCCATTAAGATATTTATAATACCAATAGATGGAATAATATAGTGGTGGTTGATTTTGTCTTCTTCTTTAATGTCAAGAGGAAATTTAGTAGTGATAAAATCATTACATTGTCCTAAATTAGCAAATCTGTTCCAAAGAATCAACTTAAAACTATCCTGAAGCTGATATAACCAAGAAACTGAAGTGATATATTTCCTTCATAAAAATAATCCTGGAGGTTAGTTTTGATCTCACTAACATATTTCACTCATTACAGCACTGGCAGTCAGATAAGGAGAAAGACAATATACAAAAACAGAGAAAGAAAGATGATTGCATTGTATAATAATAAGTCATTCATGTTTCCCTTCTAAAAAGATGCCTTTTTGTTTCTCTAATGGATCTACTGGTCCCTGTGTTGATGAAATTCATTTGAAGCCCCTAACATTGCTCTGAGCACCTTTGCAGGGCTTCTTCATGGGCTCTGCTGCCCTAAGCCCATCAGTAGGATTGTCTGGGCTTGCTTCTTGTCCATCACTCCTGGGAAGGTCTGTGGATATAAATAGAAAGGAAGTGAGAAGAGTGGTACAACTCTTTGCCTAAGTTTTATTGGTCCATTGGCTTTTAATGTTCATTGAAATCACTGAGGTTCTCTGCTTGAAAACTGTTGCTGCAGTACAATTACTGACAGTTACATGATTTAATTTTAAGGAGTTAAAATTAAAAAGGAGCAGCAATAATTTTATCTGCTGCCAGTATCTCAGAAGGAATTAGCACAAGTGTGGAGAAGCATTTCATAACAGAGATAGATTTCATGAATGGATGATAGTGACTTGTGCTTCTTTGTGGCTCTACTCAAGAGAACATTAGATGCAGGATTCCTGAAGATTTAAAAACAATTTTTAAAAAGCTTAAGAACCAATTTTTCTTTGCACGTCTCCTAATTTCTGCACAGTTAGCAGGAATGCTTTTTTGATCTCCTATTTTTTAACTTAGTTGTTGGAAGCCATGAATGGATATTAATCAAGAATTTGCTAATTCAACATCTGTGGCCTTTTCCACTGCATTTTATGTCACCCTGGCTACATAAGTATTGCCAAGTGTGGACACTTGGCCAAGCCCCTCCTGTCACCTCCTCCCCTGCCTCAGGAATGTGGTGACAAGAAAAATCCGTGTACCTTGGTCTTGCCTCAAAGCTGAGCGAGGACATGAGTGAGACGTGGACCTGTAACCCAAATCTAGGCCATGCACCTGGCTCAACTGTTTAGGAATATCTAGCCCAGTGTAGTGGAGAAAATACCAATTCCATCTCCTAATATATTAACATACCCATTAATATTGTGAACTGTCCTGAGTGTATACAGAAGAAAAGAATGAACCTTTTACCAAAAAACCCCCTCATAATACACCCAAACTAAAAGTCTGCTTTCCCTGTTTTGGTGATTTACTGCTCCATTATGTTGTGGAGAAGAGAGTTGTTAGTTGCAGAGCAACATTTTACAGTTCTTCCTTCAAAGTTATGTAGCAAAGACAAATTTTTAATGAAAATATTAGAAACCATTTTTTCTTTGTCTGATTTTCACTGCTGTCATTTTCTTTCTGTTTTAAACTATTAGCAAGTAGAAGAGAGGCAGAAAGTTGAAATGAGAAGCTATTGAACTAATAATGGTAACACTAAGTGGCATTTAAGGAGACCTTAATCAATTATCTAGAAAATTTAGATCTGATGTGTCTGAATCTCTTGTCAAAATTTAGGCAAAAAAATTAAAAGCTCCAAAAGTATCATGCAAATCTGATTTTATCTCATAATGCTCAGCAGGGTAAAAAAGTGTCAAAACATTCCAAACACTTGGATTTAATGATTTCCTGCTGTAACAATGAGCTTTAACAATGCTGATTATGCTGTTATTACAAGATCAGTCCAGTCACCTGGTGCTCAAGATTGTATCTAACTTACAGAAAAATGGTCAATGCTGTAGCAGTTCTCCAACTTTTCATACTCCAGTGACTGTATTTTATCTTATTAACTGTATTATTTCCTAAGCTTTGGAAACCTTTAGGTTAGCAGCAATCACTATAAAATGTAGCACAACCTATTACATCAATTTTCACTTACTTTCTTCTCTCCTGAGCCCAAAAACCTGTATTGGTCTAAAATAAATTGGTTTAAAATATATTGTTCAGAAGGGAAGGCATCAAGGTACAGTTTGGCAACTACAAAAAAATTAGGAACTTAGCACTTCTCTTGGGAAGTAAATGCTATAATCACCTTTCAGGATACTTTCTGAAAAGCTAAGTAGCTCTAGGGCTGCAACTGTTTGTCCTTAAATCATTTTTGTGGTCCTTCCCTATAATTATTCAACTTCCCCAAATCCTTTTAAAACTAAGGACCTCAGAACTGTACAGAGTAGCCAAGTTTACATCTTACTGCTGCCAATGGTAAAATCAAGTCCCTGTAGTTAGAAGGTTGTTTTCTACTTA